ACGTACGCCTCGTCGCTTCTTCGAATCTGGTCCGGCAAAGCCGCCACTGCCCTTGTATTCGTCTTGGTACATTGCCATGTGGTCATCGTCACGAACCCCACCAGCCTTGAAAGCCTTTCTTTGGGCCATTTGCTCTGCCAATGCGTGCTCTTGGCTCACAACCGCGGCTCGTATACGTAGTAAGGCATCCTGGTTCCGGCGTTGAAAATTAAGCATATCCTCCACTTCCTGTAGAGAGGGCAGGGACCCTAAAACGGGCCCAGATCGCTGGGTCTGGTGCGCTTTTGCGGCGTAATGCCGTGAAAAGTCCAACGTGCGCGTGCTCATCTCGGCAATCTATTCATAATTAGCCAACTAAAAATAGGATCGAGTGTCCACACTGATTTCACATACCTCATTGAGCGATGTCTCCACATCATACACGTCCAAATGCCGTTTGACAGAATCACCCGGGATCTGTCCCGCAATAGCACGACCCGCAAGTCCGCCCTTCATTTCCTCGACACGCGCAGCTTCAGGTATACTCGGCTTCCATGCAGTACCGTAGGGTCGAGTGTCATACGCAACCGGATATGTTGACGCATTTGGCGGGGGCTGCGACTGGAAGGAGAAGTTCTGCGGGAAAGTACCATAGCCGTTGGGAGAGGCGATACTGCCCGCAGAAGTAGGAGCACTATATTCATAGGCGGACCCTGTCTGCGAGCCAGCGATTGAAGTGATCCCCGTTTTCTGACTTTGCGTGGGTGACTTGCCCGAACTCAAAGATTGAATCGAGGGGTTTCGCGAATCCTGTGTGGTGACTGAGGCCAAACTCGCCCGAGATGCTTCTGCTTGGAGTTGGGGTTGAGGGTACGCCGAGTCCCGCACTGCATAAGGTCCTGATGATATCACATTTGAAAACGGATTCGGTGGCCCCGACGGTGCTTCGCCAGTCGGCCGTGCTATAACATTTGAAGACAGGAGATGCGAATGTGGTGCATGGTGAGGCTGCTGAGGAGCCGCCGATGTGGGCGCAGGATACGGAAGGGGGTTATCATTTCCTAAAGCCTCGTGGATGGACGGGAGGGATTGCCTTTGTGGTTGTGACTGTTGCTTCTCCTTCTCGTCCTCAAGCGCGCGCCGCGAATCCGTAGGCGAGATATAACCAGGCTGCACAGACGGTGCGCTGGCGGACGATGTTGGGTAGGAGCATGGTAATGGCTGGCCAGAATACATGCTTGTTGGGCTAAGAAGGGCTCCTGGAGATGTGACAGGACCCGATGCAACAGCAGGGTGTTTGGGGGGATATCCCGATCCGTCCTTTCCTAAAAAACCAAGAGCTGGCAGATGGTCCCTATGTGTCCAAGAAGACTGAAATCAGTACATGTGATTCGAGATAAACTCCGACACTTGCGACGACGAGAAGGCGATAGAATTAATAAGGTACGAACCTATGCCTATGACCGGCTTCCAATGACCCCATCACGCCAATACTTCCAATTATATTGTTGCGATTTCGCCCTTGACCTCATGCACCATCAGTCGCCTCGGCTATAGTCTAATAGTGTACCGTGGGAGAGGGTACCAAATCGTCAATTTTTAGAAATGAAATAAATAAAATGGAATGATATAATAAAAGTGTGGACGGGTTTGAACGGCGAAAGCGACCGGCCGAGAACAGTGAGCTTCAGAGGCGAAGGGATGAAAAGTAATAACAATTCCAACAGTTTTCCGATAAGCGATTGCCGTCCTTCAAGTGCGCGTCACCACTCGAGTAAATCGACTTCGAAGGTTCTTCTTCTTTCTTTACTTCGTAATTCCGATTAAAGAAAAGAAAGGAAAAGAAAAAAAAGAAAATAAGAAAATAGAAATTATCAGGCCACCTTTCTTCCCTTGAACCAGAGTTGTCTGGGGGGGGTGGGTGGCGGTTGTGGGGAAAGGGAAAATGAAGAGAAAGAGATCAAGTCGGGCGAGATGCGGACGTAAGAGGAACCCAAGAAGGAAAAGGCCCGCGGTTCCGTGAGTTGGCCCAGAGAGGAATAGTTTAAGCAGAGAGCGGCGACTCGATGATTGGGGAGAAGCTCCAGGAGTGTGAGAAAAAAAAAAGTGGCGTTGGGGGGGGAGGGAAGATCAGGCAAGTCTGCAGGCGATGCGATCGCGATTAGAATACCCGCAATTCAAATGCAATTAATTCGATAGCAAAAGTACGGCACGCACCCGTAGTGCGCAGCGAACAGATCAGATCGGAACGGCCCTTCCTGCGTCTGGAAGAATCATCTGTCCAAAGCCAAATTCGCACAGCGAAATTTAACAGTCAGATTTCGAATCCTCAGATAGACTCGATTTGTGGTTTGAGTTTGGTGAGCGGGTGTCGAGCGGCGGAGGCCCAGTAAACGCAAGGGATAACAAGAGATATGAGTGCGTCGCGTGGAAGGGAGACGGGGCTCTCTCTTTCGTTCCCGACAAAAAAGAAAAAATTGAAAGGGGTGGAAGAAGATCAAATCTATTATAGGGAAAATGTGTAGAGATGATAGAGGAGGAAGACAAGAGGGGTGAGATTTATTAGTGGGTAGTAATTATAGACTAAGAGACAATTGCCTCGGGGGAGGAAAGAAGAAGAATGGTTCTCTGCTTTTTCCCCTGGGAATGCGAGAAGATGAGAGCTGAGAGGGTGAGAGGAAGAGAGGTAGCTTCGCGGTAAGGGAAAGAGTGAGAGGAAGATGAAGAAGCAGAAGAAAAAGTATAAGTTATAATCGATGGAGAAGAATTGATCATAGACTAAATCAAATCGAAAAATAAATAAATCCCCAAAGGAAAAAAAATAGAAATAAAATAAATATAATACTAGTACTAGTACCTCAGCAATTAAAATCAAAAAAGAAAAAGACGAAAAAACGAAAAATAAAAATTAAGGAAACTATTAAACACCTCCAGTACCTCGAGACTAGTCCTAAAAGACCGCCACAAGCAGTCCCGCACACACTCACACGGCCACGAGAGATATGGGAGGGAGGGTCCAGCGAAAGAGCTAGCAGCTAACGACGTCGGCCCAGGACAGGATGAGCTCAGACCTGGGAGAGGGGAGAGGAAAAAAAAAAAAAAAAAGGACAGAGAGAGAGACAGCCTGAAAAGCCAAAATGGGACTACGAGATCGTCGAATCACACTCGCCGTCGTGACCAGTTTAAAGTTACGGCGAATTACAGAAGCTTTACGCTGCGAACTGCGGATCTTCGACAAAGTGTGGAGTGAGTTGGGATCATATTGGCGATGTGCGGATATCTGGGTGGGGTGCGATGGAGCCTTACCAGGGGGGTCGGTCGTCCCTGACCAAAAATTCAAAAATTATAATAATAAATTAATAAATTCAAATAATAAAAACAAGAGAACAAGTAATTAGCAGCACTTTACTTTCCCACTTTTTTTTTTTTTTTCCCTTCCCCTCCCTTTGTATTCCATACACACTACGTAATTTACAACAATACGACAATACGACAATACAATCCATTGTACTCCGTACAGTATGTATGTACATTTTCCTAATGTTTATTTATTTCGTTTTCTTTTCTCATCATTATTAGTTTCAGATAGAGAAAAATAATGATGATGAGAAAACAATAAAAAATAAGAAAAGCTCTAACAAACACAAGAATTAGGTTCTATGTATTTCGTTGCAATTATGAAACCACCGCACTAAACAGATCTGAAAGTCATAACGTCTTTATTAGTAACACCAGTTCATTAGAGTACTATACACAAAAAGAATCAGGTGTAGTGGTAAGGTCCAACTTGGCGGATTACCACCTAACGGATGTATTAGCGTTCATCCTAAAGCCACAGGGGGGTACCCGGGAATGGGTAATAAAACTAATTTGGATTTTACCACTAGCCGTTAATGTACAGATTTACAAAGTGCCAGCTCCGTCGTAGTACGGTGTAGGTTTTTAGTGTCTGGCACAAAATGGAAAGAGGGGTGGTTAACCACTCAGGTAATTGAGGGGGGTTGGTGCGAAATAGGACGGTGAGTGGTCCCTATCACTGATGGCGATGGGGCAGAGGAAGCATCGAGATCCATAGATCGCACGCTACACAAATTAGGGGAACGGCCGACCGACTTTAATTAAAGAAAACTTGACAAAAGAAGTAGAAGGAAGAAGACTAACAAGACGGGAATGACTAACGTTCCCAAATCCAAGTCCGTGGGTGATCGAATAAAAGAAGGGATTATTATATTATAAGTACCATATTATCCTTCCTGTTATCCTCTTGAATTAAAGGGAAACTATACTGAAGAAGGAGAAAGAAAGTAGAAGGGAAAACAAAAGCAAAGAGAAAAGAGAAAAGATGCACAACAAGTAGATTCATTCAGCAGGCTGCTTGCCGGACTCAGGTTTTCATCCTCAATACATCCCCCACTCACAAGCTACCTTGCATCGGTGGTATGTTTGTCGTTTATGGCCAGCTTACTTTGTCTAGAAACCCAGATGTGAACAGAAGCAACATAAATTCATCTGATTACAAGATAGCATCGCAAAGAAAACTTGGGTTGTCAAATTCTTATCTCCAAAGATTATTGTAGTACTGTTGCTATGATTTGAAAGTATGGTCAACATACGGCTAGTAGTCGGGTCATACCTGTAGTAATGTTGTTGTACAATCTCCTGTATGTATTGCACATATTTAATGATGTCCGCTTGTGTCTGCCTGAGGAATCCTCGGCGGTTAGGGTGTGACAGATGCAGTAGTACACAAAACGTATCGCAATATTACATGCTTTTTATTTGCGATCCAGGCAACCCATTTAAGGCAACAATGCAAAAGTTGATCAATGATAAGATTTAGATTTCGTACAGATACATTGTTACCTAATAGAAGTCTTCTCAGGATTACCTTCTTTTTCTTCATCTTCATCTTCTTTTTTTATTTCTATTTTGTAAATGTAATGCTTATCAACATTGAGTATGGGAATACCATGCCATCCTCCTTCTTCTATATTTTTGATATGCAAAAGCACGGGGAACTCGAGATCTGAGGCGAAGAATGCTGTACACTACAGAAGAAGGGCAAAAGACCGAAGGAAGACGTGGAAAATAAGCGTTCATTCATGTGTGAGATTTGAAGTTACTGCAGTGATGTCTCTGCTTGGCCCAGATCTGGAAACGATCGGAGTGGGGAAGTTGGATCGCACATCAACAGGACACATAAACTACTACTAAACATGCTCTCACACCCATCAGCATCCTGCAGCTAGTAATACCCCACTACAAGAGGAGAATGGAAAAAGAAAAGGATTTTTTTTTATGAAGAAAATGAGTAAAGGGAAAAAATAAAAAAACACTGGATAGTTAGGATCGCATTTGGAAGCGATCCGACCGCCCATTTGTCAACGCGGCAGCAACATTTAAAACTTGACTGCAGCCATGGTCAGATCCCCTCCCACCAAATTTGAAAACCCACACTCCCTTTGTTTTGTTTTCACCACTGATGAACTATTTTCAAACTAAAAAGTATAAGAATGAGATATAGAGCAATGGGAACTTACAGACCATGGAAATTTTTAAGAAAGGGAAAAAAAAAAAAAAAGAATTAGTACCGAAATAGAAGAATACTAGAAAAATTCCAGACCTAGCCATTACATCAAAATCCACCGCCCCCTTGTACCTGAGAGAATTGTTCCATGGTACCGTACCACGCTCACCCCCGCCCTCCCTTGCTCAAGATCTCGGGCATAGCCGTGGGTGGGTGGCACCATTGTCGTCATTCACGATATCCTCGGACTGAGAGATTCTTATTGTTTTTGTCGGCGGCGGCAGGACTGACGATTCTAATCGATATTGATGGAGCACACTATTGAGTATAGTATGTTCCAAGAATGCACCTAAAGGGATGCCGTCGGACCGACGGGGTATAGCGTTTTTCCTTCCATGACTGGGTCCCGTCTGGTTTCTTTCTATCCAACTACGGTATTAATTAATATACTGACTGGGTACCTGGCTCCGTGCAATGGCATCCACCCTTCGATCGATTGAGTTTTTAACCCTGGAGTTACTTAGTGTGCGCTGCTTCTTCGGCGGTGATTGGATTCAATCAATATCACACCACTACTTTTCTCTTCCATTAATCATAGGCGTTTATCCGCATGTCCTGCGGTCGGATGATTTCCCCAAAGTAGAGATGGTGTCGCATGGGTTGTCGCATCACCACATCCCCCTTCCCCTCTTCCCCCGCTAGTTTATGTCATCTTAAACACCCAACTTCAATAGTTTTAACGGGACCCGAACAATTGTCTCTTCGTTTGGTGGTTGAAAAGACTCCTAGTCGAGCCAAAAAGAGATAAAAATAATATTATTGCTAAGTTTAGACCCATGCACTAGAGTACCCATGCTCCACCGTACCGACGACACTCATAATTAGTCGTCATCCTCTTTGTCTCCTCTCTCTCGATTGATTGATTGATTGATTCATTAATTAATTTAATTAAATAAATAAATTAATCGAATCTGAACTATCATGCACGTTGTGGATTTACTATGGAAGGTCGATCTAATCCTGAACCGAGATCCGGAACACATGATTGGGGGATATCTAACGGGCGAGTTCATTCCTTATTTTGTCACTGCCGATTAACTTCGCTCCCCATTCATTGACGTAACAGTCAAGGAAGGAGGACTGAAGGATATTTTCCCCCTTCTCCTGCCCTGGATTCCTTCTCATTTCTGGGATATTTCATTTTTTTGCATTTCATTCGGCGGCATGCTTTTTTTAGGATCTATCCCCCGAGAACCGCAACTTCATTTCCTTGTTTTTCGACATGATCCCTTCAATGCAAAGGGTCTTAACTAACACTGGAATTGATTAGTGGCATTCCACATCAGCCAGTGTGTGTTTGTTCCATTCTAACAACCGACATTTGACCGTTGCCTCTTCTGGCTGCATGCGCAGCTTCCGACCGGCAAGTCCGCATCCACCTGTACTACTACTCGTACGTAAGGTAGCACCGGCATACATTGATCGTAGAATGCCGAGCAGATCATGAAGTAATTTTTCCTTTTTTCTTTTTCTTTTCCTTTCTTTCTCTTTTTTTTTGGGGGGGGGTGAAGGGTGCGCTGAAGTTGAATATGGCAGAGAAAGCAATGACCTCATAGCTGACATACATGTCGATCATCACTATCAGCGATGAACTCATGTCCTTGACCTTGTCTTTCCATGTCCGGTATTGGATGCCCTAGGTATCAAGCAAAATTTATGTACATACATTAGTATACATATACTCTTTGTATCCGTGGGAAAGATTGTCTTGTGCCTTTCTGTTACCGAATGGAGTCGAATTATATACCCTATTGTACACAGTGCAGTAATAAATACTAGACAAATAATTTTTAATATAAGACAAACCGTGGGATCACAATCATCCGAGGTCAGGACTTTGACCCTATGAGGCGTCGGCAGGGGCTCATGCGCCGAACACGCTCACCCACCGAGATTTAACTCAATCTGCAGGCCAACTTCGTGAAATATCACTGTAATGATACTACATCTTGTGGCTTGCTGGGTATGTACAGTTTGTACTCCGCTCCCAGCCACATACATACACCTTACATATACATACATTAAAGTACATAGCTACGTAGATGCATACGTACGGTATCCATGCGGGGAGAGGTGTCACATCATGCCCGTTGGAGCTGCAAGATCCTATACTACGGGCTGCAGCATCCTAGATTCCGGTCGAAGCGTTTCTCTTCCTCGGTTCCCAAATGGACTTGATTCACTGGAGTTCAGCCTTCCCTGCTGCAGATGACGCTGCATTACCCGATCCGATCTTTTACTTTCTTTTTCATATTTCCCGCAAACCCCAATGAAAAATATTACGGAGTATTGGCTATTTTATCGGTTGGACATTGAACGTTACACGATGAGATCGAAATCAATGCGCACATGTGACGACGGTGAAATGTAGGTGCCGTGACTTGCCTTTCCCGGCTGGAGAACCTTTTAATATATTATTATTATTATTATTATTTATTTTTTTCCCCTACATTGTTCTTTTTTCCTGTCCCTCCATCGTATGTCTACCATAGCGAAGCAGTCTTTGGTCTCCAAGGAGACAGGACTTTCTGCATCAGCTTTGATCGTACACTTGCAGATGCACAGACTACTACAGGAGGCTAGTTATGGATCTAACGGTCGCGCGAAACTCGACTCATCCAATCGGACCCGTAACAAATTGGGGAACGTTGTCTGTCATAATGCTGACAGATCACGCCCATAATTACTCGAAGGCCTTTCCCTCGTTCCTGCGACCGTTTGTTCATTACTTTATTTTCACTTAAACCTGCCTCTACGAACGATGAATCTGCACGTCTTCCAGTAGACACCTCCCAAATTGTTCGGGCACAGTTTCCCTGAACTTCATTTGTCCTATAACTTTTTGTTTCTTTCTTTTCCGCCCCTCTTTCCTTTTTTGAGAGCGTGGGAATCCTGACCCAACCTTAGGTTTCGTGGTGTGGGACAGGATAGTGGGTTCCGCTTAAAATCCCTGCTGACTAGTAGTGCGATGTTGGATCGAACTAAGGAAAGCAAATCCCGAGACGTCGCGTTGGAGAGTCAAGTTCCCGAAGGTCGACAATGAACCGCGTCGCGCATTGACCAGACAGCAGCTTATCCAGGATGGGAAAATTACTGCACGCCGGTTCCAACCGACATCGTTGTCTCCAGCCCATGGGACGCTAAATCGTCAACGACGATGGGAACGGCACATCGGAACGTACTTATGTACTCCGTACATACATACGGAGTACAGCTTATGGAATGGTACTTCCTCTCGCTTGGATAACCGATTGAGGTTGGTATACAATACATGTGGTCTCGTTCGTGAACATGTCAAAAATCCACCAGACACATGACTCCGTGTCAGCTGCTCTTCGACGGTGCTCCACTTTCTGAAGATCAGTCGGTATCTTTCAAAAGAAAGACTTTGAACTCCATATATACAAACATTAACAGGAGATAACTCCCTACCAACAATGCTATATATCCTTGACACAACACTCCCTAATACAATTAGACGATGTTCCTGGACGCCATTCATAATGACTTGGCCTTGCCCTTGCCCTTGGTTGTTAGTCAAGAAAACCTGCTCATAAACATAAATTGAACCACTAGGACGAGTCATGGCCCGTTACGACGTGGAGACACATCTCACATCGCACACACCGACATGATATCTTCTAGTTTCTCTCCAACACGATACTAGCTGCCCGGCGGACTACATGCATCATACAGTTTGTGCTACGACGCTGTCTCTAAGGGTGGGGTACTTGCGCCGGCCGTTAAGATGGATCTATTCTGGAGAGATAATTCCAGCCGTTCAATACACATCCTTGACCTGGGCGGAGAGGGGGTTGTGTTTACAGCCAACTATCCGATCTCTCGGATATTGACTAGGAAATGGAGAGGTCACTCTTACTCCTTGTTGATCCTTTGACCACGCAACAAAACATAATGTTGACGGGAACCTAAGTTCCAACTGCCGACATGACGGACTAAATCACTAGAATGGCAGATCATATCCAGTCAAAGATTGGGGGCATCGAAATAGGTCTTTAACCACCAATCGTACATTCCCCAGGAAAGTCCTCTAGAAAGCTTTATTGTCTACCTTGCGAGCGACAGGCGACAACAAGCGATTAGAGCATGGAGCTGACAGGCAGTGGACCGGGCGGATGAGATCGACAGTGCCAGACCCAATAGACTGATGGGCGAAAAACCGTTGAGAGCGTTCTCGCTAAAGTCACCCAAAGAAAAAAAAATTCTACACCCCTCTTTTCATTATTATCATTATTATTATTTTTTAATTATCCTACCAGTAGTTCTACTTAGCAGACAACAGGTGCCCTTTTTGCCCAGACACGTTGTGGGACTGCCACTTTTTCTCAATTTTCCCTATGATCGCCCCATGACGATCAGGAAGGTACCAAGACCAATCAGGGAAAGGAGCGACGACGAGTCGACTAAGATGGGAAGGGCGCAAAACGCGATCGCAATATTCCAACAAGTCACTCAACATCCAACGAGTTTGAACTATTCTCACGGATAGTCCACAATTTTCCCCATTGAGGCTGGCCAGGATGGGCTAGATTCCGTAGCTCTGGCTGACGCCAACTGATCGGCCTCAAAAATTAGATTGCGATCCGAAGAGGGTGTGATCCAAACCCACCCGCGCGCGTTCTTTTCCCAGGGGCGCGTCTCTGCAGGGAAACGTACCGTGTAGAGCGATCAATATGACAGACTGACACATGGCGGTTGGGGACTATTGGACGGCAAGGATTTGGGTCCGCAATAGGTACTACCTTGTCATCGAAGGGGTTTAGTACGGTGGCAGTTGATTAGTTAACGGGAACAACATCGGGGCATCCTGCAGGCAACCTATCACCAGCCATGACCAACACCAAGCCCAATTGGGGAACGAATGAACGCTGTGCAGGTGGAGGGAGTAAAACCCACCAACGGGAAACAGAATGAGGCAGCTTCATCGGAAGAACAGGATCGGTGGAACCTTATCCCGATAAACTCTCCGATGTCTTGACCTGAAAAAGAAGTTGACAGCTGGGGTTTCGTCAGAAAACAGTTTAGTCTAGGCGGCGCTAACCTCTCGCGTGCTGCAGCCCGACCGATTGGGAATTGACTTCGGTTAGCTAATCATAACGCTGTGATAACTGGATAAAATATCAGCTAAGTTAAGCAACGATCGAAATCAAGTAACGTCCTGCTTCCTCTTTGTTGGTTCCCCTATGTTTTTACGTACAGGAGAAGTACCTATTGGATGTTATTACGTGGTAATATCCACGATTGACATACCAGCGAAATACGCCGCACTTGAAGTGTATAAGCCATGCCGACCGGTCCCTCAGCCACAAATCCAGCAAAATACATTAGTCCCTTCCGGTTGCAAAAATTGATCGATTTCGGTTTACCTTTACGTACCTCCCCGATCACATGGCTCCGAATCATTTGCTGTTTCTTTTCTTAAACCCCAGATATCTATTCTTTCGGCCGGATGGATTATAGTTCCCTACTACCGTTCCCAGATAGTAGGAAATCCCACCTTCCTCCATACGGGTGTAATGACGGGATACTAGCAGGGATGTGCCCTTCCAAAAAGGAGACTAGCGGCCCACCTCCCGCCTTTTCCTTTTTCCATTTCCTTTTTCCTTTCCCTTTTTCCCAGTTCCCACCCACCCCCCTGGGAGACTGTAAAAAAAAACATAAATACGAGAAAAGAAAAATAAAAAAATTAAATAAATAAATAAATACATAAAGGAAATTGTCCAACCCAGCTTCCCTTTGTTTCTGAAATTTCTTTCTTTCTTTCTTTCTTTCTTTCCTCTTTCTCGATATTTGATTCGAAATTATTTCCGCCACCCCTTTCAAGTTCCCATCCTTCCCGCTTTTGGTGTACCAAGATTCCAACTTAGCCTCGGAGAATAACTCTCGAGTCGAGTCATGGCGCCTTTATATTTCCGAATCTACCGAGACGCTGGATACTTACAGGAACTTAACTGAGTCTGTTATGTATGGCCGGGCAGGGATGGTTACGTAGCACTCTTTCTTATCTTGAGAGTTTAAATGTACATACCGTATTGAGCTCTGATCTCCCTTATAAGAATGATAATATAAGCTTTTATAGGAGGGGAAGTTTAGCAAATGAGATAATTTATGATTGAAGACAGTGACACTGAGCCTTGCCAAGTATCCCACCCAGCACTGCTGTAGCGTACCATACATTTTTTTTTTTCTTTTACACGGATTTTGTCAAGCCCGGAGCTGGCTATCTCCGGGGAGGGATGGATGGATGGCTGGATGGATACGTTCATGAATAACAACATCCGGATGCCGTGTAATCGACAGATCTCCTTTAAGTCGGTGTAAATCCATCCACACACCAATATCACTAATTGACTAACTGACTCGACCTCAACTGCGGGCTGGCTGGGAAACCGACGACCAGCTAGCTGACTGACCGGGGGAGGGTCCACACATCACCCGCTTCTAGCTCGTCAACCAAGAAGAAAAGTAACCTAACCACAAAAGAAATAATCATAATAATAATAATAATAATCAAGGCGTTGATCTGAATAACTCCCCTTCCGCCGAAGCGATAGGGGTAAACCCGGACTCAATGGAATGATCTCATGAGATCGCGGTGTACAGAACCACAGATAGTACCT